AGATCCTTCTTTTTTACTGTGGCATAGTATTCCTTTGTGCAAATGTAACAGCTTTTTTTATCCACTCATCTGCTGAAGGGCACTTGGGCTGTTTCCAGATCTTAGCTATTGTGAACTGCATTGCAATGAACATAGGGGTGCATACATTCTTCTGATTGGTGTTTCGGGTTTCTTAGGATATATTCCTAGAAGTGGGATCACTGGGTCAAATGGCAGTTCCATTTTTAATTTTTTTTGGAAATCCCATACTGTTTTCCATAATGGTTGCACCAGTCTTCATTCCCACCAGCAGTGTACTAGGGTTCTCTTTTCTCCATATCCTCACCGGCACTTGTCATTTGTTGACAGGCGGTACCTCACTGTCATTTTAATTTGCATTTCTCTGATTACTGACTTGGAGCATTTTTTTCTTCCACTTTCACCACTCTTATTCAACATAGTCCTGGAAATCTTAGCCAGAGCAATCAAAGAAGAAGAAAAAATAAAAGGCTTCCAAATTGGAAAGAAGGAAGTAAAACTGTCATTATTTACAGATGATGTGATATTGTACATAGAAAACCCCAATGACTCACCAAAAAACTACTAGATTTCATAAATGAATTTGGCAATGTAGCAGGATAAAAAAATTAACACCCAGAAATTGATGGAATTTTTATACACCAATAATAAATTCTCAGAAAGAGAAATTAAAAAAATAATCCCATTTACCAATGCAACAAAAAAGATAAGACACATAGGAATAAACTTAACCAAAGAGGTAAAAGATTTACAATTGAAAAACTACAGGACATTGAAAAAAGAGATAGAAGATATAAACAAGTGGAAGAATATACAGTGTTCATGGATTGGTAGAATTAACATCATTAAAATGTCCATACTACCCGCCAAAACCGGTTTGGCTCAGTGGATAGAGCGTCGGCCTGCGGACTGGGGGGTCCCAGGTTCGATTCCGGTCAAGGGCGTGTGCCTGGGTTGCGGGCACATCCCCAGTGGGGGATGTGCGGGAGGCAGCTGATCGATGATTCTCTCTCATCATCGATGTTTCTGACTCTCTATCCCTCTCCCTTCCTCTCTGTAAAAAAATCAATAAAAAATATATTAAAAAAAAATGTCCATACTACCCAAAGCAATCTATAGATTCAATGCAATCCCTATTAAATGGCATTTTTCCCAGATCTAAAACAAATACTCCAAAAATTTATATGGAACCAAAAAAAAGATCCTTGAGTAGCCACAGCAATCTTGAGAAAAAACAAAGTTGGAGGGATCACAACACAAGATATCAAGTTATACTACAAGGCCACTGTAATCAAAACAGCCTGGTACTGACAGAAGAACAGGCATATAGATCAATGGAACAGAACAGAGAACCCAGAAATCGACTCAAGCCATTACACTTAATTATTATTTGACAAAGGAGGCAAGAGCATATAACGGAGTCAAGACAGTCTCTTCAATAAATGGTGTTGGGAAAATTGGAGATACTTGCAAAAAAATGAAACAACCACCAATTTACACCATACACAAGAATAAACTCGAAATGGATAAAATACTTAAATGTAAGTTGCAAAACCATAAAAATCCTAGAAGAAACCATAGGCAACAACATCTCAGACATCGCTAGTAGCAACATGTTTGCCAATACATCTCCTAGGGCAAAGGAACAAAGGAGAAAATAAATAAATGGGACTACATCAAAGTAAAAAGAGAATTATGGGAGAAGCAAGGAATTATGGGAGAGAGTGTGATTCTGGGAGAAGCAGAGAGCTATGAGACAAAATGGGATTATGAAAGATACACAGGTAACTATGGGAAAGAATGGGATTATGGGAGAAGCAGGGAACTGTGGGAGGGGATGGGCTTATGGGAGCAGCAGAGTACTATGGAAGAGAATAGGATTATGGGAGCAGCATAGGACTATGGGAGAGAATGGAATTATGGGAGAAGCAGATAACTATGGAAGGAAATGCATTGTGGGAGAGAATGGAATTATGGGAGCAACACAGTAGCATGGGAGAGAAAATTATGGGAGAGATTGAGATTATGGGAGAAGCAGGCAACTATGAGAAAGAATGAGATTATGGGAGAAAACAGGGCAGCAGAGTACTATGGAGAGAATGGAGAATTATAGAAGAAGCAGGGGATTATGGGAGATCTAGGAATGGACAAAGCATGTCTAGAGCATCTAAATTGCCCAATGCCCAAAGGGTATAGAAAAGTCTGGGGTTCAAGCCAAATATTGATGCTTAAAACCATGGAAACACATGCTGCTAATGATTTATTTATTTGATAAGTGTTAATTGTATACTATGTGCTAAGCACCATTTAAGAGGCATATATTTTTTTACGTCACTAAAGTTATGGTGCAGATTTTCAATTAAATAAAAACTGGTGATTATATTAGAAATCTCTCTATAGCAGGGGTAATTTTTGCTATAAGTGTGAAACCTCAGAAAATAATCATGCCCTGGCTGGTTTGGCTCAGTGGGTAGAGCATCGGACTGCGGACTGAAGGGTCCTGGGTTTGATTCTGGTCAAGGGCACATTCCCAGGTTGCAGGCTCGATCCCCAGTGGGGGGCGTGCAGGAGGCAGCCAATCAATGGTTCTTTCTCATCATTGATGTTTCTATCTCTCTCTCCCTCTCCTTTCCTCTCTGAAATCAATAAAAATATTTTTTAAAAAGAGAAAATAATCAGCAGACATACTTTTCTGCAGTGAATGCCCAGCTTTTCCTTTTAGTGTATCCCTGTTACTCAGAGTCTGGAGCTGATTAACCATGGCTCCCAGCAGTTGCTGGAGAGCCGACCACTTGACATTTCCAAGCGTGTTGAAGAGATAATAAACACACCGGCTGGTGAACCTGATATGGAGTAAGGAAACCATGTTTAACATCTTGAAAACTGCAGAATCCTCCACAGAGTCTCCATTTTAATATTCTTTGGCTTATTTGGGGGCTTGTCAGCTTTGCATTTAATTCGGTGGCACTTTGAGAGTGACACTCCTGGAGGTCGGTTTGCTGGTTGCTAGGGAACTAGTAATCTCATCTCCAAAGAGCGGGCTTTCTGGCAATACAAGACCCGCACAGTTCCAGGACAATGTAACTATGAGCAAATTACATCTGCCCACATTTTTATCGAGAAAAGGAAATTGAAGCTTGTGACCATACATTCTAAGAACCTGATTTGAGGTTTGTTCTCTTTGAACTTCAAAATCCCTTAAGACTGTGGCAGACTCTGATGAAAGTTTTGTCCCTACGAGTCAAACAGAGATAGGCTCACCTGAAAGCAGCCTGCACCAAAGCAAGGCTCCCAGCCTGCTCTGCTCAGGAAATGTCCAGTAAAAACTATCCAACCTGGCCGGTGTGGCTCAGTGGTTAAGCGCCGACCCATGAGTCAGGAGGTCACAGTTCGATTCCCGGTCAAGGCACATGCCTGGGTTGCTGTGGGCTTGATCTCCAGTGTGGGGCGTGCAGGAGGCAGCCAATCAATGGTCCTCTCTCATCATTGATGTTTCTATCTCTCTTCCCTTCTCCCTTCCTCTCTCTGAAATCAATAAAAACATATTTTTAAAAAATCTCAACAGCGATGTGGTTCTCACTCAGCTGGAGGGGATTCAGCAGGGGACCTTGGACGTGTCCTGGGACATTTTTTGGTTGTCACACTTGGGAAGGTTGCTGCGGGCATCCGGTGGTTAGAAGTGCCACAGATGCTTCTGCTAAAAATCCCACAATGCACATAACAGCCTCTCTACCCCACAACTGTCCACCCCAGCCCCAAAGGGCGCTAGTCCCACAGTGGAGAATCCCTGCTTAGTGGACACCTCAGAAAGCAAGATGTCACAGCCAGGGACCCAGGAACCCTTTTCCAGTGAGTGATTCCCAAAAGGCTGCCCTTATGACGGTGGAGAGCAGGGACGCTGGGCCAGACCGCCTGGGTTTGAATGCCCGGGGCCACCACTCACTGGCTGTGCCTCCTGGTGCATTTACCTCCATCTGTGCCTCATTTTTGTCCTCTATAACTGGGGGGTGATAACTCCACACAGTGTAGTTATGGGGCTTTATTTTATTTTTTAAAATATATTTTTATTGAGTTCAGAGAGGAAGGGAGAGGGAGAGGGAGAGACAGAAACATCAATGATGAGAGAGAATCAGGGATTGGCTGCCTCCTGCACGCCCCACACTGGGGATGGAGCCCACAACCAGAGCATGTGCCCTTGACCAGAATCGAACCCGGGACCCTTCAGTCCCCAGGCCAATGCTCTATCCATGGAGCCAAATCAGCTAGGGCAGTTATGGGGCTTTAAATGGGTGTTTCGAACAGTGCCAGGCCTGCAGGAAGCGCTATATAAGCATGTCTTTCTTAAGTGGCCCTGCTGATCTCTGCAAAAATAAGTTTTGGGGCTTGGGAAAGCTATGGGCAGTAAAGAAGTAACTTCAGATTCTGAACTGCCACAGCAAGAAGAATGAGTCCATTTCATTCACACACATGTTCTTTCTTTCCAGTTCATCAACCCTCATGAGAAAGCCACTGCGTGGGAACCCCCTTCGCAGCGGGCTCAGCCCGGGGTAAGCCCTTAGTCCCAGTCCTCCCAGTTTCATTCCCTCCCCCCCCCCCCCCCCCCCCGCAAAACTAGCGACGGACAATCCATTGGTACTGGTTAGCGAGAGTGGAAAACACAAAACTACACAGGCACAGGCGCTACCCACCCACAGGCAGACCCTCACACACGCAGCCCCACAGCTGCCTGCAGATCACGAAGCCAGAACGCACCCTCGGGGCGCGGGGAGGGGGGGGAAAGCAGACCCTCCCCCGCCCCCCAGGATCCCACTGGACGCGGTCAGGTGGGGCGCCTCGGATGCAAAGGGAGCTGGAGAGAAGCTGTGGCCGCCCAGGAACCGGCATCCTTGTTAAATCCAGGTCTCAGCACGCACACACCCGCGGGGGGACAAAGAGTAGGGGCCCGTGGGGAGCTGAAGCCAGGGCGATCGCCAGCCACTCACCTGGCCGCGTTCTCTAATCCACCTGCCACCCAGGGGAGCAGCAGCGGGAGCCCAAGGGCCCAGGGCGACGGCATCTTCGGATTCGCGCCAGGCCTGCAGCTGTCGCCTGCCACTCCTCCTCCTGCCCCCCGGGAGGGCGCGGACCCGGCACAGCCCCCTCTCTCCTCTGTGGCTCTGGGTCTCCGCTCCTCCCGGCGCGCAGTCCTGCGGGGCAGACAGGACGGCCGGCCCTGCGGTTGGGGGCGCTCGCGGGCTCAGGAGAGGTGGGGGCGCCCTGGCCAACCGCTGTGGCTCCTCTGAGGGTGAAGAGGGTTCGGTGCGCAAGGGAGGGCGGGGAGGGCCATGCACATCTGGCTGGGACCCGCCTCCAGCGCCACCCGCGCATCCTCCGCGCTGTGTTCACCAAGAAACTTACCCCCGACTCAGTTTACTTCGCTCTAGTTGGATCGCCGTCTATTTCAGACATGGGGCAGCTTTCAGTGATACCTGCGCTGGAGGATTTAAGAATTCGCTGGAAAGGTCGAAGCAGGGACCAAGGGTGCCAGTTCAGAATGATGCTTCTATCCTATATCCGGTTAGACTTTCACACTGCAGAGTTTTCTTCAAAAACTGCAAAGCATGGGCTGCTAGAGCTGCCAAGCGCAACTCCTTCCTTTGACAAGTGACCTGCCAAACTCAGCTGCGACAGCTTACCTACACGGGACCACCAGATGATACGGTAATGTGGTAACCAGCCGAAATTAATGGCAGAAACACGAATATATATGGGTTCAGAGAATTCACTTGGGTACTTAATATGTTCTTTGTTCTGACAACTTGTTATAGTAGAATGAATCATTGGTCCCTCCTTCCCCCACTCCCTGCATCCACACCCTTTGTCTTTTTTTAAAAAAATTGATTTCAGAGAGAAAGGGAGAGGGAGAAACAGAAACATCAATGATGAGAGAGAATCATGGATCGGCTGCCTCCTGCACGCCCCCTACTGGGGATCTAGCCTGCAACCTGGGCCTGTGCCCTGACCCGAATCAAACCATGACCTCCTGGTTCATAGGTCAACACTCAACCACTGAGCCACACAGGCTGGGCAAGGAAGATTCTTGCTGCAGCTTCCTGATTCACACCATAGCTGTCCTTACTGATGTAAGCCATGTTCAGTGGGTCTTCTGTTTTACCTTTGCAGGCATCCTAATGGATTCAGTATCCCTGGTTAGTCACTAGTTAGGCCATTGAGCTGTTCAAAGCCAACAGTGACAGGCATTGTCCTAGACACTGTACAGGCATCATCTTCATGAACACCTGCCCCCTTTCTCATCGTTTTACTTCTTTGCAGCTTCAGATGTCAAATGAGTTTCATGAATAAGGCAACAAGAGGATCCCACCAAGACCATTACCAAACCCCTTTGACCTCTTCACACCATCATTGGTTTTATTTCCTGAAAACACTAATAGAGAAAGGAAAGAATGTAAGGTATGGACTGTACACCTGCCACTATCTTAACACAGGTGGGATATAAAATTCCTCTTGGTGTGAGTTTGCCCATAAGCAGACCCCGAGGCAAGGACTGGATTGGTGGTAGTTTGTACTGGGGGAGCAGAGCCCTGGCAGGGGAGAGGGGGTGAGTCCAGAGAGGGAAGGTAAGCAATAGCAGGTGTGTATCGGGGTATCACTGGGGTGACTGCAGCTTCATGCTGCCAGGCACCTCCCTAAGCCAGCCTAGAACCCAGGTCTCGCCTGAAAGGCCAGGGAGCTGGGGTATTTAGACACCATCTCTGTTCAGTCATCGCCTGAAGGCTTCCACCAGAGTGCAGGTCCGATGACTTCTGCCTGCTGCGCTGAGAGCTGTGCCCGGCCAGGTGTGGCTCAGCGGTTGAGCTTCAACCCAGGAACCAAGAGGTCACCGGTTCGATTCTGGTAAAGGGCACATGCCCTGTTTATGGGCTCTATCCCCAGTAGGGGGCGTGCAGGAAGCAGCCAGTCAATGACTCTCTCATCATTGATGTCTTTCTCTCTCCATTCTTCTCTGGAATCAATAAAAGTAAAGAAACTAAAATAAAGAAGAAGAGGAAGAGGAAGAAGCAGCAGCAGCAGCAGCTCCCATAGATCAGCAGTTCTCAACCTGTGGGTTGTGACCCCTTTCACAGAGGTCGCCTAAGACCATTGGAAAACACATATAGAATTACATATTGTTTTTGTGATGAATCACTAGGCTTTCATGATGTTCAATTTGTAACAATGAAATTGGGGGGTCACCGCAACATGAGGAATTGTATTAAAGGATCACGGCATTAGGAAGGTTGAGAACCACTGCCATAGATGCTGACTGCGGACATGCTACTGGCGCTGTCCAGCCTGGGAGGAGATGGGCGGGGCATCACATTGCTGCCACCTAATGCCCAGCAGTTGAATTGAAAATGATGGTTGTGCTCATGCCACTTCTTCCTAAATATTCGGATCCAAATCACTCCCTCTTTCAAATACACCATTATTTTTTTTTAAAGTCCTAATAAAACACGATCAGCTTAAAACATGGGGCCATCCTGCTTTCTTAGCCCCGAGTTATAAATGGTTAGAGTAGCATCTTGCATAACCTTGATCTGTCACGTCCTAGTTTTATTTTCAGCATTCTGATGCTGCTTCTACTCTGTCTTTTTTTTCAGAGCCGGCTTCCCTTCTGTAATCTTAAAGGAAGTGATGAACATTGTGACAGGAAACTTCTGGAGGAGGTCAAATGCCTCTTGGCCAGCCCACCTATTATTTCCTGGGGAACAAAAGTGCCTTCGGGTAGTTGGAGGAACAGAGAAGGGATCTGGAAATGACGTGCTGCCAGATTGGACACAAATTGCCACGCAGAGGCTGGGGTTCTTAATAATCACCCTGGTGTTGCTGACTTTGAAGAGAACTTCTCTTAAGGGGACCCTACTCTATTCTACAAAGGAAAAACAGTCTTTGATCGGAATCTCATAAGATCATCCACAGCTTTTACAGGGCTACATTTTGCTCTCCTAATCTATTTCCACTTAGCCCCCTGCGTAGAACAGGTGTGATGGGATAGTTTTGTGCTTTCTGAAAATACACACATAGCACACGTATAAAACTTTAAATGCTTACGATGTGCCCGGCGTGGAGATCAAAACGTATATTGAAATGTCAGCACCAGAAGCAAAGCCCTGTCGGATGAAAGAGCTGCATGAAAGAGTATCTAGGCCAGAGTTTTGAATTTCAATACAAATTACCGGTGGGGGGCGGGGGGGGGGTCTTGTTAAAATGGAGGTTCTGATTGTGTAGCTCTAGAATGAGGCCTGAGTCTTGATTGCTAAAGAAACACAAAAACAAAAACCCACGTGTGCCCAGCCAGCGTGGCTCAGTGGTTGAGCATCGACCTACAAACCAGGGGGTCACGGTTTGATTCCCGGTCAGGGCACATACCTGGGTTGTGGGCTCGATCCCCAGTAGGGGGTGTGCAGGAGGCAGCTGATCAATGATTCTTATCATTGATGTTCCTATCTCTCTCTCCCTCTTCCTTCTTCTCTGAAATCAATCTATATATACATATAAAATAGGGAAATGTGCTAATTAACCGGGACGCTGTAACCGGTCAACCAGACAGGAGGAGGTTGTGTGCGCAGTGTCGGGGCAGGGCAGCAGGGGCCTCCAGGCGCCTGTGCTGGGGGAGGGCCTGATCAGCAGCAGCCGTGGCTGCTTCAAGGACCAGAGAGGGAGTGGGCATCGCCACGTGATTTCGAATTGCGCACTGGGCTCCTAGTAAAAGTATATTTTAAAAAACCCCAAGTGATAATGCTGCTCGTCTGAGACCCTCTTAGGGTAGTGAGGGGCTAGAGATCACCTGGACCACCAGTTCTCAAGTTCAGCTGCACAGTGGTTTCATCTGGGAAGCTGGGAAACTACTCATGCCTGGGTCCCACCTCAAGAGAGTCTGATATCTGGACTATGGCTTGGCTGTGGGGACATTTTGAAACTCCTCAGGTGGTTTCCGTGGAGAGCCAAGACTGAGAACCACTGATCTGGGCTAACGCCAGCATCTTACAGATGGAAAAACTCAGGTCCAGCGTGTGATGTGCCTTGCCCAAGGCCACACATGGGATGAGTTTGTCTCTCTGCGTTTCCATTATATAGTCCTCTCCCTCAAACTCCGTGACCTTCTCTCCACCATTCCTATGGAGGAAAACAATGGCATCTCTTCAATCTTCTACGTGTATTGTAGCCCAGTGACATGTTCTAGAAATTGATGTGTTTCCCCAGTCTGTTTCTTTCCATTCCTTTGCATTCCAAGAAAGGAGTCAATGAAGTGTAAGATTCTCAATGCAGACACTGCTACATTCTGTATGGGGAGCTGTAGCTTGAGATAGAAACTGTTTTTCTTTATTCTGTGCTTGTCAAAGACCTTGTTCTTGAAGCACTATAGTAGAAGCAAAATCCCAACCATGTTCGGTCTTCCTTCCCTTCCCCACTCGCTCCTTCCCTCTCTCTTTATCCTACAAAGTGGCAGGCCCTGTGCTGGGCAGTGGCGACCACTTGGTGGAAATGTGTCTACCAGGCAGTTCCTTTGTTGTTGTTTTCTCCCTGGTGATTTGGGCTGGACAACTAGCACGTAGTTTTTAGAATGTCCTGTTTTCTTTAACATAATGAGTCTGACCTCTTGGGGAGCATCACTAAGGTGAAATTAAAAGAGAAAAAAAAGACACTTTGATTCATTTCCCCCTTGGACTCTGCCAGCTCTTAGATCTCTCTACTTTCTCCTTGAGGAAGAAAAAGAAATTGATATTTGTGGATGATTACTAAGGGCTAGACATTTTATAGAGAGTAGTAATTTACTCTTGACAACACCTGAAAGATAGGTATTATCACACCATTTTACAGATGAGGAATGTGAGGTATAGAGCAGTTAACTATCTCATCTAAGATCATCTATCAATCTAATAGAAAGAACATGGATTTTTCAGTCAGACCTCACCAGAGATTAATTTTGCCACCAGATTTCTTTATTTTTTTTCTTTTTCTTTTTTTTTTTTTTTTTTTTTTTGCTAATCCTCACCCGAGGATATTTTTTCCATTGATTTTTAGAGAGAGTGGAAGGGAGAGGGAGAGACAGAGAAAAACATCGATGTGAGAGAGGCACATCGACTTGTTGCCTTCTGAATGCACCCTGACCAAGGCAGGGGAACCTGCAACCAACGTACATGCCCTTGACTGGAATCGAACCTGGGACCCTTCAGTCTGTGGGCCGATGCTCTATCCACTGAGCCAAACCAGCTAGGTCCAGATT